AATTGTAATACTGGTTTCAGCAATATTTGTAGCCAGCACAACTTTTCGTCTTCCATTACTTGCAGGATTCATGATTTCTATTTGTTGTTCAGGTGTCAATTTAGAATGGGCAAACATTATATCGAAATTATGAGGCCTTTTTTGTAGCAGTTTATTCACCTATTATTCAAACAAAAATTGAATTGGATAAAGTGGTCAAATGATTAAACAAAACAAGCAGAATGTTATCTTACATCAATTATGTCTTGCCAACCAGATACAAAACACAGTATAGCTCCAGGTGATTTATTGCTATGAATCCATTTAATTACATTTGCCACTAGTTGTGGATTCCAATAAGGTTTACCATTTTCTTCAACAGTTGTATCATATATACCCCATTCCTTAGCCAATTGATTCTGGAATCAAACATTAAACAATAAATATTAATTTTAACATCAAAATACTAAACCCATTGGCATTTATAATTTACCGATAAGAATTGAGTTTTTACAGGATGTGTGAACCCTGGTATTTCAATAGTAGAAGCTGAGTGGCCATAATAATTCTGGAAATGTTCGGCATTTAGCGTTGCACTCATTATAATCAATTTTAATTTGTCATTTAACTGCAAAGCATTCTTTGTAAGCATCAACAATATTTCTGTGTTTATATCTTGTTCGTGGGCTTCATCAATAATAACATGTGAAAATTCTTTAAGTCCAGGGTCTGATTGTAGTTTCTGAAGCAGTATACCGCTAGATGCAAATACTATAGTTCCCGGTTTTCTGGGCAATATTTGCTTCAACCGCACTTGAAAACCAACCACATTGCCCAACTAGAGGATTCAGTAAAATTATTCTTAAATCTAATTATATTTTATTTTATTAGTTTATACTTCTTCAGAACGTTCTACTGCAACTCGATTAGCAAGTGTTAGTGCACTTATTCGTCTTGGTTGAGTGACATAGACGTTGCATTCACTTCCTTTTCTTTCTTGACTATATTTTTTCATAATGAAATTAGGCACTCTAGTACTTTTACCACAACCTGGTTCTCCTTTTATAATGGTAACTTGATTATTCTCAATCATATTAAGTATGTCTAATCTAAAATTTGAATTATATATATATATATATAGTGTTAATTATTTTAAATTAAAAATATTATTGATATTAAACATACTCATAGTTATCTATAGGTAATTGGACTAATTTGTTCAATGTTTGTGTAGAATTTTTATAGAGGTATTCGTTTCGATTTGTATAGTCAAAATGTGAAAATGAAGGTGGAACAAAATTTAACTCATCTAAAATTAAAATATATTATTACATTATTGATTAAGTGGGAATAATTAAATACTAGGATTTACCCTCATCATTAGTTTGTTCATCTTCAATGAATACTGGTTTTCCTTTATTTATTATTGGTTTAATTTCCTAAGGTAAATAAGTGCATTCTTTAATGTATTATAAACAACAAAATGTTTATACTCTGTCCCATGAGAGGTTGCCAGTTGTGCGTATCCCACTGTGTCACCCTGCTAACAAAACCGTTTCCCATATGGAATGGTGTAGCATGGGGATACGCAGAAAAACTAATATTTGTCGGGCTACGGCTCGTTCTCTCATGGAACAGAGTATATATCTAATTGATTATTATTTTGTATAAGAATATACCTAACCTGAGTGTATTTTTGCACTAAGCTTGTAATTTGTTTAACATTTTGTTCGCTCAAATCTATTGAAGCAATTGGTGATGAAGCTACATCTATTCGTTGTTTATTTGATACTAATAATGGCTTTCCTGAATGATCAAGTTTTTCCATATCCTGAAAATGTATTAGTAGTTACTAGTTATTGTTTAATTATTAAAATCAAGATCACACAGTTATATTTATGGTATTTTTAATTATAAAATAATTTATAGTTATGGTATAAAATAATTTTAAATTATAAAATATCATATTATCTAATATTCTAAAACTAGTGTTGAGGATGTCAGCGCACTATTTGTTCTCTCTCTCTGACCCAAGCGCAACATATACCCTGTTCAAAATAAGAAGCGACCTGATTTACGCTTGAAAACCGGTTTTACTAGTGGCCGCTGAATCGCTTCTTAAAATGAACAGACTATAGACAAAACGCATTTGGGTGGAATCGGTTTTTCTTTATTTTTAAGAAATCTTAGAGTAAAATCACCCATCACAAAAAAGATAGAAAATAATCTTTTAGAAAGAATGTCATATTGATTTTTTTTTTTTTTTTTTTATTGATCTAATAAAATGCCCGACAACTATGGTCATTAGCTATAAATATGAAATATACAATAGTTATTTACAGTTTTAAGGTATTCTTATATATAAGTTAGGTATTAACATTAAAATTACAGAATAGGTGTGGTTACATAGTGTACAGTCGGGTTAAATATTATTATATTAAATTGTAAAGGCCTGTCAATTTCAGGAATTTTATTATCTTAAAGTTTTCTTCGGTGTTGGGTCCCAGTGCGGTGTCCAGTGATGAATCTAATCCGATGATTTGACGATCGCGTTGGAATTTTAGGCATTCGGTTATGATGTGTTTCACTGTTAATTGGACACCACAGACTTCACATGAGGGGGGTTCTTCCTTTGCCATTAGGTACCCGTGCGTAAGTCGTGTGTGTCCAATTCTCAATCGGTTTAGAACCGATTCTTCTTTTCTTTTTAAAGAATTGTTAATCCACCTGTTGGTGCATCTTTTTATAGTGTTGAGTTTGATGTTTTGTTGTTTCCAAGTATTGAGCCATTTGGTATTGGTTATGTGATTTATGTGCCTTTTGAGGTCGTTGTAAGTAGGACCTGCTATATTTGCTATTTTGGGGTTTGTGGCAGCGATCTTGGCCTGTTTATCGGCTAATTCGTTTTCTTCGATGCCGGAGTGCCCGGGGACCCACATGAGGATTATTTGTTTATTTTTGGATAGGGCTTCATTTAGATTGTTCAGTATTTTTATAGCGATGTCTCCGGGTTTGAACTGGTTTTTTATACTGTTGAGTGTACTCAAGGAATCACTGAGTATTAAATGCTTGGGATATTCATCGTCTATAACTGATTTGATCGCCTCTAGTATCGCTATGGCCTCGGCCGTGTATATAGAGCATGTGTTAGGTAACTTCATTAATATGTTTTTGCTTTTGAGTATTATTGAGATTCCTACTTGGTCCTGTGTTTTGGACGCGTCGGTGTATACTTCTTGATATTCTTTATAATTTTCTATTATACTTAGGAAGTATCTTTTGAACATTTCTGGGGACGTTTGTGTTTTTAAGTATGCACTGAGGTCAGTATTTATCTCGTATGGAGAAGTCCACGGAGGTGTGGTCAGTTGTTCTCTTACAATTAGTTGCTTGCAATCAATGCCGTATTTTTATATCGATTTTATATTTCATTGTTATTTGACTTTCAAAATGAACAAAAAAATTTTGTAAATTTAAATGATGTTTAAATTGTTTTGAAACAATATTTAGAGAAATTGATATGTCATTCCCTCAAAAATATTATTCTCTATCATTTTTGTGATGGGTAATTTTACTCTAAGATTACTTAAAAACATAGAAAAATCGATTTTGCGAGAATGCGTTTTGTCTATGTTGTGAGTGGGCAGAGAGAGAAAACAAATAGTGAGCTGACATCCTCTTAACAAACTTAATAGTAAACAGAACATCGGTTTAAAAATAATTAGTTTTTGGTAAAAAGGGAAAAACTTAGAAGTGAGTAAATAGAATTATTTATAAGATAAATGTCAAAAATAACTAAAAAATATTATAATTTAACTGTCAAGCACAATGTTTGTTCAACATAACATTGTTAAAAAAAAAAATGACGATTCGTTTTAATAATTATCTTACTTGTAACCATTGAATTGCATTTAAGGAAACAGTTTCTCCAGCTTTGGCTTTGGTAGTAGCCATACTTGAAAATACAATGGGGTTGGGCCATTGGACACTTAATTTGCAGGTCCATTGATTTTTTTTGTTCTTGATGAAACCAAAATGACAGCCTGTCTTTATGTTCTGTGTTCGTTCAACTTGATTATAAAAGTTTGAAACAATATTACGTGGCGATGCAAATTTTCTTTTCAATCTAGTTATATCTAAATAAAAAAAACATTTGTTGTTTTATATATTATCAGGTGGTTTTTTTTGAAATTTTGTATTTTACTTTACTTCTGTTTCTTTATTACATAAATATTATTATCGGAAACAAAAAATTTTCTCTTATCTTATAGTTTTAAATGTTAACAAATAAAACTTTTAATTAAAAATACAAAACCTTACCTTCGTCAGAAATTTTATATTCTGATTCTGGTTGAACAGTTGAGAATTGTGGATATATTAATTTTAAATGTCTTCTGAAAATAATAATTAATATAAATTCAAAACAAACAATACAAAGCAGCTAGAGTCAAAATACTGATAGTTAGCATAATGGCACAACATAGTGCAAATATTTTACTCACTGGGTTGTAGGAAAACGAGATATTACGTTTTGTAATCCGATGAAAGACCTGACGTTAAACATTTTAATATTCTAAAAACTTAGCATTCCAAAATTTAAGTTGATCGAATACCTAGTTAATAAATTGTTGACTAAATATTTATTTACTCCATAATAATTCGAAAACATCTACTCAAAAGTCAAAACCATGTAAAATAATATTAGAATTTAATATTTATATCTTTAAAGCCGGAACTTTTTGATAATAAACATACATGTGCAAATGACTGATAAAAATATAAAATGATAAATTATGATAAGGGATATCAACTAGATATCAAAAATGAATGAATTTGAATAATTTGATAAGTTAAAACTTCAAAGTTTTGGAGTATTAGAAACAAAAGTCAATACCAAGTTGGCGGCGAGTTATACCTTCAGGTTTCAACCTACCCATTTGGATTTTTTTATTTTCAGTTCGAGACGTACAAATGGTATTGTCATTCATTTTGTAGACAATTCGCTCTGTGTTTTTTTACCGATGGCTAAAAGTCCTGTGGTAACAGGAATTTCCCCGAAAGAAGGGCCACCAGGAACAAGGGTGACAATCAGAGGGGAACATTTGGGCATCAACCCCAACGATCTATCGAGTAATTATGTCAGTTAATCTTATAAAAAACACTTCAACAATTTTCTGATTCTTATAGGTTTAAAAATATGCGACTGCGAGTGTATGCTTTCAGCTGAATGGAAATCGCCAAATAAGATCATTGCACGATCTGGCCCAGGAAAAGGACGTGGTGATATAATTCTAGTCACTAAATCTGGTGGTGTTGGTACAAGTACTGTTCAGTTTCGTGGTTATCACGAGACTATTGGCCCTCTAAAAGAAAGTGCGGTATGGGTGGAAGAAGCTCCACTTAACTGGGGCCGGCAAAACAGTTCGGTCACCATATTTCAATTAGACGATCCTTTGGGTTTGTCTGTTGAAGGAGATGAGTATGTACATATTTATTGACCATTTCAATCAGTCGTGAGTTGACTGATATATTATTTTGATTACACAATAAGGAAATTTCCTGAAAATGAACTAACTGAATTATTTCCGGATGGTTCTGGCGATTTACTATCTGAAAACTTTGAACCTGCATGGTTTTTACTTGAACACCACCATGGGACATCTTTTGATGATTTGCGGGTAGGGTTGTCATATTTGAAGAGAAAGGTAGATTCACAAAACGAAGGACAATTGTCTTTTTTGAAAGTAAGTCATGTTTAAAAATTATATTTACAGTTTATTTTAATTGTTATGTTTATTATAATGTATAGGATAATGTTGGATCAGTTATGGAACAATTAGACACTCTTTTTACTCTAAAACAAAATTATGAAGCTGATTTTGAAAGAAATAATGAAACTCTCTTTAGAGTTGAAGAAGCAATTAACCGTAAATTTTTAGTTAAATAATAAATGACTTGTTGTTTAACCTAAACATTATTGAAAATATCATTTTAGAATCTTTAAAGGAGGCAACCCATTTATTTCATGGTGTTTTAACCAGAAGAGAAAAAGCTGAAGCTACTAGAAATGCATTGGCTGTTATGACTAGATATAAATTTTTATTTCAATTACCGATCAACATTGATCGTAATATTAAAAATGAAGACGTAGATGTAATTATTAATGATTACGCAAGGGCTTTAAATTTGTTTGGTAAAACTGAAGTTGCGGTTAGTATAATAATTAAAAAAACTATATTTTTGTTATAAAAATATAAAAATATTATTTGTATATTTCAACAAAAAGGTTTTCAAGAAAATATTAGAGGAAGTTGAAACCAAAATACTGAATATACGAATTAACCTGAAGTCAAAGCTTCATCAAATGCCTACAACTCTTAAACAGCAAAAGAAAATAATTAGGTAATATCTATGTGCAAAAAAATGGTATATGAGATTTGAAATCACGTATCAACAAATAAGTTAATTTTTGAGCATAACAAAATGATTTTGTGAAATTAAGCAAGAATGGTTATTCACTTATTCATAAATATTTTAACATTTAAAGATAATATGTTACTGTTCATATTATATTTTATTATTATTTATTTTATAAAACTAAAAATAAATTTGAAAGAGTATAAATCTTACTGGTTTTACTAATATTTGGTATTTACAGGTATAGAATTAATTCCATAATTGTGTATAAGTTAATGACATTTCAAAATTTCAAAATTACTTTTTCAGGAATTTAGTTGCTCTAAATGACAATGGTGATCCTGGCTGGGAAGCAATTATTCATATGAAACAATTTCTAATTGATAAAATAAAAGGTAGTTATCAACAATTTATAACTGAAGAACAAGCAAATGAAACACCTAGTAAGTTGTTAATACTTTAAATCTTAAACTTTAACTTGACACATATTATGCACATTTTAGATAAGAACAATAGACATCCACAGAATAAACATAAAAGAAATATTAGTTTGTCTCAACAAATCGAACCCCAAGTATGTTACATCACTTTTTATTATTTGAATGAACCATCTCAACTAATGTTAAATTGTTTTTTTTTTTTTTACAGAACGTTGAGCCTAAAAAAGTATTATGCATTGATGAAATAGCTACAGTTATATCGGATTACTTTCCAGACTTGTGGAAACTTGGACAAAATTACTTTGTTGGTGACCTAGCAGTAAAGCCAGATTGCAGTCATGAAATGGATTTCAAAGTATTTTCCACTAATATCTTCAAAAATATTGTACATATTGTATAACATAACTTTTATAATTTATAGGAAATGATATTAGACATAATTGTGACTGTGTCTGATATATATAGAACAATTATGTTACCTACCACTACGACTAGTTCATTTTCACCTGTACCTATCATATGGTTGCCACATTGCTTAAAACAAATCCGATCGGTATTTACAGTATTAATGGCTTTGGATCTTCCTAACGAAGCTTTAAATAAGATATCCAGTGTTATATTTGATTTAAGGTCAATTTTTTTTTCATTTTTTTTAAAATTAGTTGAATTTCATTAAAACTTACTCTTTTGTCTTAATAGGTTACACTGCTTAAATATTTTATTTAAACAAGCTTCAGAACAAATTATACAGTTGAAAACTACTGAGACGTGGAAACTGGATTATCATTCAAAACAAGGAACTATATCACAATTGGTAATTTTAATTCTCAATAATATTGAATAAAGTAAATTCTATACTTAAAATTTTTTTTTCAGCCAATTGATTTCTACAAAATCATAATGGAAGCAATGAATTTAGCCAAAGAATATGTGATCCGGGACGAACGTAGAGAAACTGCACTTGTTGATAATGAAACTGCAAAAAATGAATTACAACTACTGGTTCATAAATGTTTTTGGAACTTTTCACAGGTATAAAATTATATATTAAATAATATTTTAGATTTTAGATTAAATAAATCATTTTTATATTGAAGGTTTTAGAGCAAGTCGGTTTAAACGCAGATACCAATTGTTCGTCTACTACAGTTATGTCCTTGAGTGGATCTTCAGTTACAGGTTTTAAATTACACAATGATCTGGTGAGTTGTGAGTTTTATTTTCTCCTTTTTATGTGGTGAAAATTTAGTTTCTTAGTCATGGCTGTAGCCTTCTCGATTCTTTCCCACGCCATAACCGTTTTTGCGATGCCGTATGTGTGATAGACGAACACAACATATGTGGGGGGTGCAACGTCGTCCTAAGCTTATCGATTTATCGAGTTTCATTGTATATATTTAAAATATAAAAAATTATTGTATTATTTACATGTAGCTTATATATATTCATATACTTAGCAGATGTGATAAAGTGGGCAGACACATTTATGTCATATTACATAACTATGTTAATAAGCTAAATTATTATTAATACATTTTAGATGTGGGAACAAAAACTTTTAATAACAATAAGTAACAGTCAGTATACAAGAAACGTCATGCTACTTAAATTCAAAAAAGAATTTGAAGACAACGGTTTTCCAACCATTGATGTTGTTGTAGCTCGAGCTGTTGAATTACTTGAAAACACTGAAAGTAAATTGCTCGAAACATATATAGAAACCAAAAGCGATCCTTTAGTTGGGACAATAGAACCATCAATGTATGTGGGCAGCTTTGAATGGGACTCTCCCTCACTTTTAGATCTAAGAGAGGTCAGACCTTATGCCAAAGAAATTATTACCAATTTGATTGCATTACATTCTGAGGTTAGATAACAATTTTAAAACTTAACAATTTTAGTACATGACCCATTCATTATTAATTAGTAATTGCCATTTGTGTATATTAGGTTCAAACAATCATGCCGGATTTAATGTATGCTGTATTATCAGAAATTGTGGTCACTATATCAGAAGAAATGTCACGTCTCATGAATTGTGTAACACATTTTAGCGAAAATGGAGCCATGCAAGCTAGATTGGATTTGATGGCATTGACGTTCACATTATCTAATTACTTTACACCGAATTCAAAGTATAAATTTTTTATTTCAGCAACTTAGCAAAACAATTGTATATATTTATTATTTATTTACAGGGATTTTTTTTGTGATGCTACAAATGCAGTTCCTCCATTAAAATCAGAGGATAATGAAAAGTAATTTTATTTATTTTTGTTTATGATTATAAATAGGTATATTATATTTTACATTAATGTATGTTTTTTTTTAAACCAATATCAAATTAAGAAGTTATGAAAATTGGGTTACTGGCTTATGTACCAAATTTATATTATGGTGTTATTATTCATGTATGTTTTCTATGTTCCTAGGTATGTTTTGAAATGTTTTGAGCAGTTTAAGACCCGTATGCATTTACAGATCATGTGTTTTTTAACACCTTGCCCAAACGATATTGAAACTAGTATTATATAATATCTTATTGCAACTATTTATATTATAACTGAATTATTTTTATATCACATATTTATAGCAATGTTAATGATTTATATTTAATTACCTAATAATAAACCATAAAAATAATTATATTTATATTTGCAGTGTCATATTATATTTATTTTAAGTATGTTGAAATCATACATTATATCTACAGAATACTTAAAAGCTGTTAAATGTACTATGTTGATTGTACTAGTATGTAATGTAAATTTTGTGTTCTTACTATGTATGACTATGGATTATTAAGTCATATAAATCATAACTATGGGAGGGGACTTGTAAGATTTATATATTACTTTTACATAACCACATAAATATCAGATTAGTTAACAAATTATGTTAAGACAAAGCTAATTATGAGGTTTTATTTAGCATATGTAAGCAAATTACTCTTTTTCATTTTTCGTTGCATATTTTAAAAATAATGTATTTATTTGCTCGATTACTTCATACATTTCAACTAAAAAAATGTAATTCATGTTTATTTAATTTTTTCTCCAATGGTGTTTTTTATTTTATTTAACAACAAATAAATTGTCAAAATAATCTAGATTTATTTTGAGGTGAGTGACAAAAAATGATATGTCAAGCTTCAAGGAGTAAAAATGTATACAGCTCTAGCATTTTATAGATCCTATGATCAATATGTGGGATATACTAATAAGCTAATAACATAATGACAAAATAAAAAAATGTGACACGGTCCATCTACTCAACTTTAGAAATGCTTGGCTGGTATAGCTAGCTCCTGGATGGATGACCACCAGGGAATTTTAGCTACAAATCCTTGCCACATATACAAACGTATTTTAACCAACTGTTCCTCCCCCCTACAAAAAAAAAACAACAGCTAATGGCCATAGTTGCCAGGCTAATTAAATAAAAAAAATAAAAAATGCTATGAATAAAAATTGAATAAAAAATGTACATAGGTACATTTATATATTATAATGAAAAATAATTATATTTATAAAATACTTAATTATTTTAGAATAAATGTCTATATTCAAATAACATAAATAGAAAAAAATAAGTCAAATACTTAGTAAGTCTTAGTAAGCAGTTTACATTTTAGGAATGATAAGGCATTTAACAAATATACATATTATATTATATTAAAATACAGTTCATACTTCATAATAATAATTTGACTATTTAAGCAAAAATAAAGCATTTTAGTTAACTTTCTCAAATTAAAAAAATTAAGTTCGAATTGGAATAAAAATTAGAACTTACGTAAATGTTCATGTAAAACACACATTTACACTTTTCATCTATTTCTATAGATTTTGATATACATTGAAAAATAATGGAAAATATATAGAAGGCAAAGTAAGATAACTTGAGATTGAGCTTCTACAAGCAACGGCCCAACCTCATTTTTGAAAAATTTGGACGTTAAGCCACATTTATTTATATCATAACTTTATTATGAGTAAATGTATATTAGATATTGAGGCTGCTAAGTTGAAACTGCTCGACCAGATTTTAAAAACTACAGCACCACTGCCCCTTGGTTTTGCCCTACCAACCTTATTTGCCTCAATATAATATACTTGACCACAAGTTATATACTTATAAATACTATGTTATACATATTAAGTATATCGCTACTTAAACAATTATTTCTATATGGAACATATATCGAATAATATAATTTTTTTTTCCAAACTCGAAGCCCCAGACCTCCAAGGATGGTAGACCTGAATCCAATATAATTTATAATATTATAATATCAAAATAATTTAGATGCAATAAAAATGTTCAAGAATGATGTAGGTTTACTTCATTGATCAATTCATTGTTGATGCTATTGATTCATTCATAAATATACTGAAGTAGACCACAGTCCACAACACTTCGTTCATACAATTTGAGAAGATTCCATTTCCTGATTTAATATATAGTTTTGATCTCTTATCCACAATTGTTCACAAATTACATTTAATGTGTAAGCTGTAATCTCAGTTTCGTTTGAATCATATTTTCCATCTGTTTTGTTTATTTTCAATATAGTGATTTTTTGTGTTTTTTCAAATTCATCAATGTCATCAATTGTAACTTTAGCAGTAAAATCACCTGCACAGTACCTGAAACAAACAAATATAAACCATAATACATTTAATATTAGAATAACTACTAAAATAACAAAATTCTTACTTTGTGCCAATAACAATAGGAGCCGGTTTACTTTTATCGTTCATGTATATAGGAAGATTTGTTGAAATAGTACTTAGTCCACTAGGGTCAGTAAAGGAAAATACAAACACAATGGCATCTGCCTCTTCTTTACACACCTTAAATCAATTACCAACATGTTTAAAATAAAAATTAATATTATTTAATAATCTGGAGCAAAAATAGCTAAAAAATAACTGTTTACCGGCAAAATGTGTCCAAATTTTTTAATGTCTCTGTCACCGGAGTCCCAACATTGCAGTCGAAATAGAATAATTCTATCCCACACTTTGACAGGCCAGTAAATATTACTTTTACGTATACCTCGAGTTTCTACATACTCTACGTCAAAATTTAATATCCCTGCTAGTCGAGCAATTGTGGATGATTTTCCTGCTCCGCTTTTCCCGACAAAAAACAATTTGTATGACACTTCTTCTATGTTTGGCAGTATAGGTCGTTCCAACAATCCTAATAAATGCAAAAGATTTTCTCAAGTTTGAAGTTGTCAATAAATAATAATCAACCGAACGAAATATACTTGAGAGGTTTAATATAATAAAATATTAATGGGATTAACATCATCGGTTACCTACCAAAAAATTTTCTACCGTTTGTCTGTGGATTGTAAAAATGTTGCATTATTGTTTCTCCCTCAGCAGTACTCTGCCAATCGAGCTTCACTACGTTCCCGAACATTTTGCTTTAAAGAACGGTTGTCATTATTCGGTGTCCATCACATAAATAGTACCATACTGTCATTGAATATTGTTATATTGTACATACATTGTAATAATATTTTAGTTAAATCTAAATATCGTTAACTAAAAATGTATTTGACTTGATTTCATTGTTTTCACACTCACTTCAACCGCTCATCACTTTCTAGAATCTAATTTCTAGTTTCTAAAGTTGCCCACGAATTTAGAAATTAATTAATAGCACGTTCTATGTTAATAGGTATGTACCATGAACATAAATGATTACCTTGGAACTATGTTCGGACACGGACACGATTTAAGAAATCTTATATTCTTCACAGATATAATACAATAATTATGTTATTGTTATAATTATTGTATATTTCTGTGATTTAATATTACTTTTTTAATACAGTGATTAGATTTTTATATACCTGTGGAATAAGCATAGAACAAGTATAAGGTCAATCCCACTGTGGATACAGCCGTGATAAGCAAAGAACACAATTCAATTTACCCGTTTTTTGTTATCTTATCAGATTTTATATATTTATAAAATGTGTGCTGTACTTATTTTATAGTACAACCATAGTACAACTGGCGTAGTAGCGTACTGCCATGTATATGCTATGGGTCTGTCATGGTATATACTATTATAATATTTAAATTTTATAGTGATGATAGATTGATTGATTGGGCGAAAATGATTTATTTGACTCTTTATGCTTTATTTAGGTTATTTTATAATTTGTCATGATTTTTTCTTTGTTGTACTTTTTGGAATACATCCAATGGCTTTAGAATTATCAAATGGCTCTATCGAGGTATGTGGTAATTTATTATTTTCAGTACAAGTAAGAATTAATATTATTTTAAATAAAATCGCTTCCTGTTGCGTGTTGTAGAAACTATGCAATGGCATGCTCGTACAACGGCCAATCGTCCAATTAATGGTAAGGTTCCTACCAGAAAAACCTAAATTATTCAGGTTAGAAGTTAAGACCAGTATGCTGTATTTAATAATATTACATTTTTTGTTTTTACTTCAGGGTTTTGAGACTGTACAGGTAAAACCCTATGAAACAAATTACCGTCTAGTGTTGTCGGATGGCATCCATATGAACTCTTATTTTTTCCTGTGCAGTCAATTGAACGATTTGATTATAAAACAACAAGTGAAGTATGCAACCATTTTGAGGATTGATGAGTACAAATTTATGAATGGAGAAAATTCCGCTGATCACAGTCCAAGGTTGCCGGAATAAACAATTCAATATTACCTATAATATTTACCTAGGCATTTAAATTTAATTTGTATACATTTTGTTTGTAGGTGGATTATACTTATTCAGAAAGTAACTATATTGATTCACAGGAATGTTTATGGAAATCCACAGCCTTTAATAAATATTGAAAAAAAAGAAATGCCGCTGATCAATTTAAATGTGAATAAGTCTCCTAGTAGGATATTTTATTGCGTTGAACATTTAGAAAATAATCTTATGAGTGTTAAAGATTTGATCACACTACCTAATGGGTAATAATTATTAATTGTAAAATATTTTTCTTGACCACAAAGTGGATTAATTTTTTAAACATTTTACAGCGGCTGTCCTTTTGTTTTAAAATTGACTGTTGTAAAAAAAAATGCAATCAATACATACAGTAGTTGTAGAGTTTTAAATATCAATATGATGGATTCTACTGGTGTAGTACGTGTCAGTGCATTCAATTCGCTTTCAGATAGCCTAAATGAAATATTTGAGGTACTTACTCTATTACTTTCTGGTTACTTCATTTCATTTATAAAATTCTTTTCAATCTTTTAAGGAAAACAAAACATACTACCTAGCGGACACAATATTGAAACATAACCAATTTGGAGTTGAACTAAAACTCCAACCTCATTCAGTTATAATAGAAAGTATTGATAAAATCCAGCCAAAAATACAATACATCAAAACATCTAATTTTAATAAATTATTAGAAAACAATCCTAATACATTTTCTGGTAAATATAGATATTTATATATTAAACTACTTAACTTCTTGAGTCTAGGACTGTAACGTATATTTTTTTTTAGATTTAATTGGTGTGTGCATAGAAGTTGGTGATATAGAAGTGTGCAGTAATTCAACATCTCAAACAGAAATTGGGAAACGAGAAATTGTACTAATCGATATGTCTATGGCAACTGTACGTTTTCCTTGTTTGTGTAGTATTTTAAGTTTTTTCATATTTTAAATGATTTTCATGCAGTTGAATTAACTTATTAATTAAGTCATCGTAGACATGAATTATAATTGTCTGTTTGATTTTACAATGGTCATTATCTATTTTTGTATTCACAATTGAAGATCAAGAAATAACATACATTTTAATTATATTATAATTAAACAGATGCTTCGTATTTCTTTAAATTCTCTTATAATAAAATATATGCATACTTGTTGTATTTTATTTTGATTTAGATAACTTTAAAAGTATGGGGTGAACAAGTTAATAAATTTGACGAGAAGTTTGAAGACCCACCAATAGTAATGGTTAAGCAAGCTGTACTCAAACAATTCAATGGGGCTAAGTATTTTTCCATGGTTAAATTCAGTGTTCTGTTCATCAATCCAAATTTAGAGGAAGTACATCAGTTGAAAGAATGGTATAAACAATTGATTGCAATGGACGACTTTTAACAGTATCATAATAATTAACTCACTATATTTAAGTATTCTCAAAACCTGTTTTTATAAATATATTTTGTACATAATTCGCTGTTGTTTTTTTTTACTAAAATTATTTAATTGAAAAACTATTAAATTGTAATTTGTGTATATTACAAAAAAGAATTAAAACCAATACATTCAATTTTGTTTGATATGAGTGTCATTTAACTAAAATTGTTATTCTTGGTTAATTAATTTGAACATAAAATAACTGAGTTTTTTTGGTTACAGAATAACCTTCTTACGTGGAACCTTGTTGTAAGTTTTCAATCCTTAGCTATAAAAGTTGAATATTTTATAAACTTTTAACTACAAAATTATTTTTAAATTTTTAATTTGAGAAATGTCAATAATCAACCGTTAAATGCTTATAAAAAAAATTCTGCCAATGTAATTTTCAACTGCAATTTAAGCAATATATCAGGAGTCTTGTATTAAATTTTGAAGCTTCTTGGCTAAAAGAATTAACTAACTAAAAGAATTTCAAACTTAAATTGTCTGTTAACGGTTCAAAATAAATCAACATTTTTTTGAAAATTGTATCGTGTATAGAAAATGACAATATAAGCAACCAGTGAAATTGTCATGTATCCACGGTAATTTGTTTTAGAGTTATACCAAACACCAAAATCGATTTTGCGTGAAAATTCCCGTTTTTCCTTAATTCATTTTTGTATCCCGGCACTTTAGAAAATTATTGGTAATTTCAAATTATGACCTCCTAAATGCACCAACTATATTCACTTTCCCATCGAACAAGATACTGAAGTGGAAAATCGAAGAATTATTTCAGGAATTTTTTCACTACTTATCTTTGCAGTTACAAATAATAAAATAATAATAATACATTTTGAAATAATGAGTGTTTCATGATAAAAGAATCACCTTGTATACTATAACCATTAAAAAGTACTTAGAAGCATAGGCGCACATAGGGGGGTGCTTGGGGGTGCTTAGCACCCCCCAAGCTTCAAACTAGCACCCTCAGTTTATTTCAGTATTTCACCAATCATATAAGCTATCGTGGTTTATTGGTTCGGAATTTTTCTTTTCATTACAAATATTGACAACTGTTTACGAATTCACGAATTCATATTTTTTTTTTGTCTGTCATCATCTTTTAGGACAGTAAAAGTGCTTGGATTTTCTTCAACAGTATCTTTTCTGATAAGAAAGTGAATCTAGTTGGTACTTTGGGGGGGTCAAAAGCAAAAATTTCACAGTAGTTTTCAAAAGCGCCGTGAAAAACAAAAGAAAAATTAAGGAAAAACGGGAATTTTTACGCAAAATCTGTTTTCGGGAAAATTGATTTTGGTTTTTAGTGTAACTTTAAAACAAATGACCGTAGATATATGAAATTTTCACTGGTTATTTATATTTCCATTTTCTATACATTATAAAATGTTCTAAATATTTTGAGTTATTTTGAGCTTTTTACGGACATTTTTAGTTTCCATTTTTTTTAGTTTTTTTTTCTATAAGTATCAATAAAATTTTATTTGTTGGGTATAAAAGCTTAAACATTTAATAGAAGGCTCCTAATATATTGTTTCAAAGACAGATGAAAAATATTAAAAATCCTTAGTCACAGTTTTTTGTTATAAGCATTTAAATTCCAAATATTGACAAAATACGTGAAAATGACGAAAATTTGTAAAGTATTTCGTGTTAGAAATTCATAAAAATTTTTCTTTTTAAATCTAAGATATGAAAATGTAATGCAAGATTCCTCATAAGTTTGTCTACCTTTATCAAAAAAAAATGTCTACAAGAATCTCAAATTAAATTTTTATGAACGTTTGAAATTCATATTTTTACAACATTTGATATTCACTCGATTTCTCATGTAACGATTTTCTAATTTTGTTGTAATTAAAAAACGAATGACTGTAGATACTTGAAAATTTTACTACATTTTTATATTATAATTTCCTATACACCATATAGTTTTCAAAATATTTTGATTCTTTTTGAGCTATTTACGGACATTTTCAGTTTTCAATTTTTTCAATTTTTTTTTCTATTCATATACTTTTATACCTAATGATTGAAAATTTAAAACAAGATTCTACGTAAATAGGTTATATATAAATTGCTTTATTCACCTTAGTATCATCAAATATACTTATAGTAATATCATAGGCTGACTAACCGTCTTCGCTCAGAATCGTTTTTCTTATACAATGATGTTAGTATATCATTGAATTCAAATTTAATACCATCGATTATACAGTGACCTACTTGTACCCTACTGTACAGCAGAGCACCTTTTTTTGTTTATCAAACTTAAATAACTTTTATTTTCGTTTTGATATCGGAAATATAAAAACAAAGTTACAGAGTAAATTTTCTCATTTTTATAGTGTGAACATTTAGTTTCTTAGCTTAGAGTAGAGACTGAATGTTTTTTATACCCGTGCAAAACAGTTTTGCCTATGTTGTACCTACGTCTGTAATACGGAGACAACACATGTGGGTGTACGGTGTACCTAGCGTCTTCTTTACAATCATACAGACTATTTGATACATTGCACTTTAGAAATTATTGTATACACTATACAAATTAAATCTAATGCAATGCAGAAATATTAGTATTAGGGGGGTGTGGGGGGCAAAGCCCCCCACGGATCTGTGAACCATAAATTATCCCAGCACCCCCTAAATTAACACCCTATGTGCGCCTATGCTTAGAAGTAAAAAAGGCTTTCTGTGAGTAAGTTGAAGCAATTGGGAGAACAAATAGAATTTTGAGCTTAATAAAGAAATAAAATCAATACAATAATTCTGTGCCTCAACTTGAAAAAATATCAATTCACAAAAATTTCAAGATGTTAAACTGTATAAACATTGAAAAAATTAATTACCACAGAACGGCGTGAATTATAGATTGTCAACAAAAATTCGAGTCAAACAGATTAACTCGTAAATAAAGACCACAGAATAGACAAGCAAACAAGTCGACAACTCCGATTTAAGACTAATTAAATCTATTCCACGCCTCCACGGTCTTCGAACACCGTGATCTATTCTATGCTACTCAGTACCTACTCACTAATAATAATGAGGCGCTACTGCACTACTGCAGCTGTGGTGGCGAGGGGAGATATGCGAGCACGGATATCGGATATCTATTACTCTATGGTCCGTGGTCGCGGACCACGATTAAAGATATATATTTTAAATCTATATAATATATTTTATATCTTTAATCGTGCCAGGACTGGAAACGGAGTATTATCAGTGGAACCCAAATGTTTTCATATGGTACATCACGGACACCCAGCGCCATAGATGGCTATTTAGTGGATTTAGCATTGAACTAAAATAATATGAATACCAAAACAATTTTTATTATAATTATTATAACATAATATTATTCTTTATTTCTTTTCAACATAGGTAGGCATTTTACATTAAAAAATATATATTTTGAAACAAAGATATAACTGTTAGTTGTTACCTATGTGTGAACTAATTTTGCAAACTTTTTGTATATCTTAGTCCGTGGACAAGACATATTAATAATTTTATTTTAAAATTATGTTAGCAATGGTTTTAAATAATATAATATATCATTATTTTTTATTTTTTTAAATGTTTGTAATGTCGTTGCAATGGTTTTCAAAAAAAATTATACTAAATTACACATTATTACAGTTATAATATTATAATAAAAATGTTCTTTATATAGTATTTAATACTATTTATACTATATTTATACCATTAATATTTATTTTATTTCTAGAAAAGATATATTAAACAACTTGGACGAGGGTTATAGACATTTGTACTAAGATTTATAGTTTGTTTCTACTGGATTAATCTTCTTTGGCCATCCGCCCATCCCTGAACTGAATGTTTTGAATATATTATTGATAGGAGTATAAATGAATCTTATCTTATAAACCCCTATTTAATTATTTCTAGTTAAATTAACTATTATTTATCTTTAAAAAAATTATAGTAGTAGTTTTGTTCACTAATATGTTATTATAAAATTACAGAAATAAACAAAATTGTTGGAATTTGGTAATGACGTAATGTTGAAGATAAAGGAGAATAACCAATGTTTTTTATTTCTGATGAAATTTTTTATTTTTAATAACTTATTTTTGCAATCATTTAACACAATTTATCATCAATTAAACTTGTTATTAATTACACCCATTGTCTTTTTAAGAATTGCTAATTTATAAATATTTTTTAGTGATTTTATACCTTGTTATTTAAATACATTTGTATTATGATATAATGATATATCAAATTGTGATTTGTTTTCTTATAATAAAGAGTTCTAGACTAACACATATGTATATTTTTGGGATTTGATTGTTACTTAAACAGGATTTAGTCATTGCATTTGTGTACTCCATACTTTCTATTCAGTTTTGTGTAACTTGCTTCATAAGCAAAACTGATTAAATAATTTAGCATAACTTTTTGAATTTAGAATACCTACTTAAGATACATTTTATTTCAAGACATTATAGGCTGATAGACGATCTTCTCTCAGAATTGCAGTGGCGGACTGGGAGAAAAAAACAGCCCGGGAAGATCATAATTTTAGAGGCCTGAAGTATACTAACGGCCCTTTATATAATATACCACAACAAAAACCCTTCGTAAACTACGTGTAAAAATGGCTAAGTAAAAAAAAATATTAGATCTTTAAGCACTAGAAAGATGTGATATCATGAATAAATGCTAATTGCTAAGTATATTGAATTTAAGTAAACTTATTTTTTCAATAATTTATTTACTTGAAGAGGAATTATTTCTTAAAAGAAACAAAGTGTGATGAACAAAATAATTAAATGGCGAAGGACTATTAAAATATAACTTATTATTATTTAAAAAATATTATTATTAATATTTATATACTATTCTAAATAATTCCTCGCCAAGTACCTAAATAAATTATTGAAACAAAATAAGTTTACTTAAATTCAATATACTTAGTATTTATTCAT